ATTTTCAGTCAACGAATAGCTTCTTGTGTGCCGGTGAAAGATTCCATTACTCAGGATTTCGGTGTTCGTCGTCGATTTCCTCGAAAAAATACCATGACCCCATCCAACAACCGCGCTCTAATGCCACAATCTCGTTCAAATTTTTAATTTCGTAGAAATTTTGCACGGTGTTTTAATAATTATGCTTCGTTTCTTTACTGTCAACTTTAATCCATCAGAGATTCCAGTGCCATGAAATTGTAGAAGTGGTTTCATTGTAGAAGGGTATCATCCTGTCTTCTCTGCTTTGAGTTTATCTTTTGTAGTCAACTTCTCTGTTTCGGAAAGAGTTGTGATCGACAGAAACCTTTTTATTCTTAGATTGCTCTCACGTCGGGTGATCATATAGCTTTTTCCTACAATAGTAATGGTCTCGTTGATTTTTTAGTATAAGTAACACTTCAAGGTATAAGTATTGGGCTCAGATAATGTGGGTCGAAGTTCGACGTGCTTGTGAGGCTGTACAGAATTTCGAGGAACGCGAAAGCATCGCTGAGTGCACCGAACTGATCAGAGAAATCGAAAAATTCAAATGGAGAATTCAAAACATCTTGAAAAACCAGGTATCGTTGACCTCAAGATAATCGCTTTTGCTGTGAAAGAAAACTTAGGCACTTACTTCTTCTCCCTGAAATGATGCTCTAACAAGGGAATGGTTTGAACTTCCCATGGAACTTTGAATGGAGACCTAGGTACATCGATAGAGCCTCGAATGCTGATTACGAATATGCAGATTAAAAGTGCTACGGGGACCTCCCAGACGAGATCTGGGTGGTCAAAGTTTGAGTTCTGGCTCGTAAGCGCTGCTGATCGATGCCTCGGCAGTGCCACCGTGGCCTCGTGGTAATGGTCTCGCTTTCAAGTCAAACGCATGCGGGTTTGCATCCGGTTGGCGCGAAAATTTTTGCTTCGCTCCGTATAAGAGCTTCAACTCTAATTTTCGAAATTCTTCCGAATTTACGGCCCAGCAGGGCAAGTAGATCAAGTACATCAAGTATACGACGTACTCGATCTAGTATGGATTTGGTCATATCTGCCCTCTCTGAACATATTACCCATCCGACAATTCAAAGTTTTGCCCAGAATCGCAATTTGGCCAGACGAGCGTTTTTTCGTCGAAGGATGTGATATTCGTGTTCAGGGGGTCGAAATCTCCCATGAACGAATTTCTCGCTAAAACTTTGAATTGTCGGATGGGTAATATGTTCAGAGAGGGCAGATATGACCAAATCCATACTAGATCGAGTACGTCGTATACTTGATGTACTTGATCTACTTGCCCTGCTGGGCCGTAAATTCGGAAGAATTTCGAAAATTAGAGTTGAAGCTCTTAGGGAGCGAAGCAAAAATTTTCGCGCCAACCGGATGCAAACCCGCATGCGTTTGACTTGAAAGCGAGACCATTACCACGAGGCCACGGTGGCACTGCCGAAGCATCGATCAGCAGCGCTTACGAGCCAGAACTCAAACTTTGACCACCCAGATCTCGTCTGGGAGGTCCCCGTAGCACTTTTAATCTGCATATTCGTAATCAGCATTCGAGGCTCTATCGATGTACCTAGGTCTCCATTCAAAGTTCCATGGGAAGTTCAAACCATTCCCTTGTAAGATAAGGAACCCTGTGTAAAATATATCAGTTCTGAGGTTTCAGGGTAAATCTTCTATCGAACGAGTCAAACTCAAGGCAGATGCCGAGGTCTCAATTGATGGCGTTAAAGTCGCTCTAGATCAGACACTTTGCGATGAGGCCATGATAATCAGTGATATTTTCAATCTTAACGAAATGGATGCACTGGAACTTGTTCTATCGGGTACGACTTTTCAAACTTTATGTCCCTTTAGCGCTAAGTTTAGTGTTTAAGAAAGCCAGCCAGAAGCGCCTCTGTGTCTTTTTTTTCGGCATAGGGTGCGGACGACTTGAGTATTGGAGGGCTAATCGCACAAAGAAGTTTTCCATGAATTTGAGCTTTGGTCGTGGTGAACCTGGTTTTCTGTGGGGCTGAACGAATTAAGAAGTCCGCGATTTCGCCCACGATCTGAATTTGGTGCAATTATTCCACCTCATGTTTCGGCGAAATTCGAAGCTATTCGACCTTGAAGGAGCATTTTGCACTTTCGCTAGTTCATGTTAACTAACAGATCTTAATTGGTGGGACCTGTAAACTCTTGTGAAGCTGCGAGGTAATACGAATGAACCACATTTGTTACAAAGATTTACAAGTCCTTGCAAGGTATCCTGTATGGGCTTCGCTGAGTACCACCGAGTGCCCCTCCAAGACGAACGTGCCAGTTGAGAGCTTTACCATTTCTTTTTTTTTGGAGGCTGCAACAGATCCTTCCCTTCAATCCATATCGCTAGACGAGGAGGGCGTGGCTGCGAGCCCCAGTTGAACGTGTCGACGGCTGCGAATCTTGCCAATGC